TATTCTCTTCTCTTCTCTTCTAATCTTTATCCCTTCTAATCTTTATCCCTTCTATTCTATTCCATTCCATTCCATATTCTATTCTATTATTCTATTCTATTCTATTCTATTCTATTCTATTCTATTCTATTCCATTCCATTCCATTCTATATTCTATTCTATTTCTATTCTATTCCATTCTATATTCTATTCTATTCTATTCTATTCTATTCTATTCTATTCTATTCTATTCTATTCTAATCTTTATCCCTAATCTTTATCCCTTCTATTCTATTCTATTCTATTCTATTCTAATTCCATTCCATTCTATATTCTATTCTATTTCTATTTCTATTCCATTCCATTCTATATTCTATTCTATTCTATTCTAATCTTTATCCCTTCTATTCTATTCTATTTCTATTTTATTCCATTCCATTCTATATTCTATTCTATTCTAATCTTTATCCCTAATCTTTATCCCTTCTATTCTATTCTATTCTATTCTATTCTATTCTTTATCCCTTCTAATCTTTATCCCTTCTATTCTATTCTATTCTATTCTAATCTTTATCCCTTCTATTCTATTCTATTCTTTATCCCTTCTATTCTTTATCCCTTCTATTCTATTCTATTCTATTCTATTCTAATCTTTATCCCTTCTATTCTATTCCATTCCATTCCATTCCATTCCATATTCTATTCTATTCTATTCTATTCTATTCTATTCTATTCTATTCTATTCTTTATCCCTTCTAATCTTTATCCATTCTATTCTATTCTATTCTATTCTATTCTATTCTATTCTATTCTATTCTATTCTATTCCCATTCCCATTCCCATTCCATTTATATTCTTATTCCTATTCTATTCTTATCACTGCCAGCTGATCAACTGCATGTTCCTGTCCTGGCTGGGGCTGATGTTGGCTGGGATTGAAGTTGATTCCTCTCCTGATTGGGACTAAAGTAAGTCCTCAACTTAACAGCAGTTCATTTAGTGACTGTTCAAAGTTACAACAGCACTGGAAAAAAAAGTGACCAATGACCACTGTTCACACTTACGACCGTTACAGCATCCCCCGTGGTCACACGATCCAAATTCAGACGCTTGGCAACCGACCCATATTTATGATGGTTGCGGTGTCCCGGGGTCATGGGATCAACTTTGGCGAACTTCTGACCAGCAAAGCCACAGCGGGGAAGCCGGATTCGCTTCACAACCGGGCTACTAATTTAATTGCTGCAGAGATTCCCTTAACAACTGTGGCGAGAAAGGTCGCCAAATGGGGCAAGATTTGCTTAACAAACATCTCCCCTCAGCAGCAAAAACGTTGGGGCTCAATGACGGTCGTTCCGTCGAGAACGATTTGTTACGCGGGTGGATTTGATCCCTCATGAAAACACTCACTTTTTCCACAGAAATCATCTTCCCGTGCAGCTCTGTCCTGTGGAGGTGGCTGATGCACTTGGTGGCTTCCTCAGACGAAGACATGGTGACGAAGCCGTAACAGCGAGCCCCGGGGCTGCGGGCGTTTGTGACTACTTTTGCACCTACCACCTTCAGAGAGAGAGAGAGAAATGAAGGAGACGACGAACACGGGTTGGGTTTACACATCTAAACACTCACTAGCTGTTGCTTGTTTGTTAGCTTCCGGGTGATAGCAACAGCAATAGCACTTAGACTTATATACCGCTTTCCTAAGTGCTTTACAGCCCTCTCTAAGCGGTTTACAGTCTCAGCCTCTTGCCCCCAACAATCAGGGTCCTCATTTTACCGACTTCGGAAGGACTGAAGGCTGAGTCTTGAGCCAGTCAGGCTTGAACTCCTGGCAGGGGGGCCGGGACAGCCTGCTACCACTGCGTTCTCACCGCTGCACCATCAAGGCTCACGAAGATGTAACATGTAAATGAAGACTCAATCATCCAAGCCCAAAGTTATCTCAAAAGGTGATGTCACCTTTTTTAGATATCTCCTGGAAGGAGGCTTCGCGCTATCCGTAGTAGAACAGTTACATTCTGTCATAGCTTTCCACCACGTAGTATCAACCTTGTTCACTCCCGAGACTCTTTTTTCTGCTATGTATTCTAAATGGTCTGTGATTAATTTATAAATGTGCGTGTGTGTACGTATGTGTGATTGTGTGTATGCTTATGTGTGGAGAGAGAGAGCGCATATGTATATGGATGAGGTATGGATGAATGGATGGATGGATGGATAGAGATATATAAAGATTAGATAGCTAGACAGCTAGATATAGAGATATACAGTAGAATCTCTGGTCATGACCATAATTCGTTCCATAACTTTGGTGGTTTCTTTATCTTCTAATGTTTCATCTTCAGGAATTTCTGGGTAAGGGGTCATGTTTGATCACTACCCGAGTATATGTTCGTGACCAGATTCAAAAATTTCTTGGTCGGAACCCGATTTGGTTGTGGTCAGATCCGTTCGTGACCAGAGTACTGTAATAAAGCTTGGATGGATGGATGGATGGATGGATGGATGGATGGACTGACAGACAAAGATATAGACAGACAGGCAGACAGAGATATAGCTATATAGATATTTCTTGAGAGCAAGCATCAGAATTTCATTTTTTAATATATGTCAATGTGTTCACAAAAAAAAAAAAATGACCAGACAGGTTATCTTATCTTTATTTAGCCATAGTTTATTAACTAAACCATAACAATCAACTAGGCTTTAAATGCTGGTTTCTAAGCCATAACCCATTCAGTGTGCTGTGTATACTCTACACAGCAAGTCACATTATGGTTTTCTATCATGTGTGGAACCATCCACTGCTTGCAGATATTTGTAGCTGTTCAGTCACTAAGTCACATCAATTATTTGGAACCCCATGGACCATAGCAACCCCCCCCCCCCCCCAAAAAAAAACCCTAATAAAAAGTATTTTATTGGCAAACTTTAAAACTGACAGGAAGAACACATTTTTTGACATCTTGATGCCCCCTCCCCCGTATGATAGATAATAAATCTTGTAATTCCTTCTTGGTTATGTAAGATGGAACTTGGAATTCAATGACTGAACTAGATTAACTGGTTAATTTCACAGGACACAATTTGCAAGGGAATAACTATGCAAGCATCACATAAATCTGCCTTTGAGCATCTTTCTGTAGCAAAGGCAGATGAATAATACCCCCGCAAAATCCCCACTTAAATAAAAATATGGAGCAAAAATATGGAATGGCCAAAAACAACTCTTACGTTATCCTTTTTTCCTCTTTTCAAATTTAAAATTATTACTTTAATCAAAACATTTATCCAGGAACATTGAACTGACAAAAACTTTTGGTCATACCATTTTGTTTCTCTTCACCCTACCTTGCCATATTTGCTAAACAGGTTCTTCAGATCAGTCGCTCTGGTTGAAGAGGAAAGACCACTGACCCACAGATTTCTACCAGAGCTAGGAGTGGAGCGACCTATATTTGGGGGTGGGGGGGGGGAGGGAGGGGAAAGGAGAGGAGACATCAAATGGGACAACCCACGCTGGGTTGAAAAATCCCCCCAAATATTAGCAGTTTCCCATACCCCCCAGTTCACAGTCTGTTTTTATTTGCTCCCCTCTGGGAAGAGGTTTCAAAGTCTCTATAGCAGGACTACTAGATTCTGTAAGAACTCTGTTCCCTAAGCCCTCCGTCTGGTAAACTCGCAGGGTTCCTTTTTCTCATCACGTACAGGTATACAGCTGAACTGGACTGTGCTGTTTTTCTCTATGTCATAATTGTGTGTGTATGTGGGTCTGTGCATAATGGTTCAGGGAGGCCAGTTTTTCGCCCTCCCTGAGCTCCAGAGGCTTTCCTTGAGCCTCTGGGAGGGCGAAAACAGCCTCCCCTGCGCTCCGGAGGCCCCCTGGAGGCTAGCCTGTCATTGCAACTACCAGTTCAGTGAACCAGATGTAAAATCAGCATCCGGGTTGCCCAAACTGGTGCAAACCGGTATCAGCCCACCTGTCCTATTCCTATTCCTAATTCTATTCTATTTCTGTTCTGTTCTGTTCATCCTTTTTAGGGAGCTTTTAACTGGTCACTAAATGAATGGTTGCAAGTCAAGGACTACTTGTAGCTGTACATACACACATACACATATACATACATACATATTTGTTTTCTTAAGTTTTCACGGGTACTTACATGCATGGTATTCAGCTTTGTTCCGGTATTTTCCCACATCATTATAGTTGTGCTTTTAAAGTTGTAGCAACGTTTCGGCAGAATCTCATCTGCCATCATCAGATCATCATCACACATCATCACAATACAGAAGCAGTACAATACAGATGGCAGATGAGATTCTGCCGAAACGTTGCTACAACTTTAAAAGCACAACTACAACGACGTGGGAAAATACCCGAACAAAGCTGAATACCATACATACATATATACGCATACACATACATATAGCCATAAACCTACCCTTCTCATCTTTGGAAGCACTTTTAGCCTCTGCATCCTCATTTGAGCTGAAGACGAGAAAGAAAAACGATAAGCATATTATTCAACCAGAAAAAAAGCCATCTGGAAAATGATCAGGCATGACAGTGGGTGCTATGATCAAATACCTACCAGAGAAAAACCAAAAAGAAAAAAAAAACGAATTGACCTTTGACTTTTACTAAGGAAGGGGCATAGTGGGTCTTTAAAAAAAAAAAAAACCCCAAAGGAAAGTCTCCCTTGACCATCAAAGTACTAACCGCTAATCAGGAATACAAAGTTAAGAATGCAACCCTTTGGAAGATGGAGATGGTTTATATATTTTAAAATGCTTTAAGGAGAAAAAAAAAAAAGAACAGCCAAACATTCTCCTACGGAAACAAACCGTGTAAGGACAACTTAAAACAAAAAACAGAAGAAAATCTACGTTGAAGGATAAGCTATCGTCTCGTTGGGGCCTTCGGCAGTGGGGGGGGTTTCATTGGAAGGCATCACAGCATGTTTTTGGCATTCATAAATAACCAACGGGCAAGAAAAAAAGACAGCATCTGGTCTAAAACGGAGAGAAACAAACCTCGTGTTCTGATCACCACCCTCTTGGGCAGAGGACTCTCTAGTGGCAGAGGGCTCCTCCTCAACATTAGCCTCCACTTCCATCTTCACGGCCTCTGGACTAACCACTTGGGGACCTGTGTCCGATTCCGCGGTTTCCTCACTACAGGCTTCCAGAGTTTGGACTTCTTTGCTACTCTCACCACCACCACCTCCACCTCCACTCCTGCTCTCTACCGCTAAAGAGTCCAAGTCCGGCTTGTCTTCCTCAACTGTCTGCTCGCTCGGCTCCCCTTTCGCTACCACTAAGAGCTTTGCATCGTCCTCCTCTTGGTTCTTGGCCTCAGCCGGGCCTGATTGGCTGTCCGCTTCTACAAAGTCTTCGTCCGAGTGGGCGGGAGAGGCGGCAGCCAACATGTCTTCTTCTTCTCCTTCTTCTTCTTCTTCCTCCTCCTCCTCCTCCTCCTCCTCCACGGCTTCCTGTTTGCCCGGCCATGAATTATTCGTTTCCTGCGCCTGCTCAGCTTCGGAAGTGTCTTCTTTAAGGGGCTCAGATTTACAAGTGTCACCCAAAATGTCGAGCACTTTCTCATTTTCTATGGATTTAACAGGAATAGAATGGCACAAGGTTTAATCACCAGGGAAACATAGCAAAGACAAATGCCGGACGGGCATGGCTGCCCGACTAACACCGAGAGCGTAGGGCTTAAAAGGCTAACACAGAGATTGGAAAACCCTCTGGGCCAACCACATTCACACGCCTAGAAACCAACTGCAGTCTAACACGGCTATCAGAGCAGGGCCTGAAAGAGAGAAGGAAGAATAACCTTTTTGCACAATGCTTCCCGGCGTTGATCCTTGGCTGTCTTCACACAACTGCGACGCCTTTCCAATTCTTGCCGAGACTCGCTTCCAAGCGCAGGAGGGTGCTTGTGCAGACAGGATCAATGCTTTTCGACTGTTTCGGCTTGCGGATTTTACCAGTATTCTTTTAAGGAGGCTAGGTCCACATGTGAACACCAGAAGAACTTCGGAAGTGGTTCAAAATACGCTTGGGAGTCCAGAAAAGCAAAGCGGAAGGCCTTCCGTGACCTTCCGTCTTCAAGTCTTCGCGTAAAGAGTGGATCCCTGCTTTGACATTATTCAACTGCACCTCGCTAGCCAAAGTTACCGTCCCAAAGCCCTGAGCGATATCACAGGATCTGCTCGGCACATCTAATGGCTCCTTCATATGCAGGGCCCGGTCTGTTCCCCAGTGGAAGGGATCTTAAGCAAAATTATCCTCTCAGAAGTCTGATTATTGTGCGATAAGAATCTAAAGTGCTCCCGCAGATCTGGTGATATGGCCAGATTTCCAATCTCTGTGGCTTTTCCTTTGGAGGTGTTCTGGACCGAGCACCAAGTTAGAATAACGAACTACAGCTACTTATGGGATAAAAACCCAAGAGAGTAACTAAAGGGACTGGTGTGCAAGATCTAGTGGAAAATGCACAGGAGGGGCAGAGGGTTTTTGAAATACAGTACCTGATTCCAAAGGAAACTCGTCAAGCTCCTATTAAGAAATCAAAAAAAAGGGGGGGGGGGGGTCAGGGTTTACCTGGCACACGTGATTATTCAATTACTGTATTTTTTCACACTATAAGATGCACTCCCCCCCGCAAAAAAAAGTGGGTGGAAAATGTCTGTGCGTCTTATAGAGCGGGGTCACCAACCTTTTGGACCTCAGGGACCATCAAAATCATAATTTTAAATCCCGGGGACCACTAATATGAATTTTGACTGACGGTGGCTTGCTGACGTTGGTGGGAGAGGGAGAGAGAGAGAGAGATCTGATCTCCCTCCCTCCCTCCCTCTCTCTCACACACAAACACACAGGCAGGGGTGGGATTCAAATTTCTTAACAATCGGTTGTGAGCGTGGCCTAATTTGTGGGTGTGGCTTGGTGGTCATGTGACTGGCTGGGCATGGCTTGTATGTAAATATTATAAATATATAAATATTGAAATTTTTTTATAAAAAAAAACTTTTACCCAAAATCAGGCAAAGCAGGCAGGCACAGTTGCTCACAGAATCACAGATTTATTCAGAAATCTATCTATCTGCCATCGGCTAGCTCAGTCTGTCACATAAAACTTGCTTGGAAGTAAACTCATAAAATTCACTCACAACACACCATATAGGTAAACAACCTCCACCGTGGTGCAGGAGGCTGACTAGGCCACGCCCACCATGGCCACGCCCACCCAGGAAACTGGGCAGAGAACCCCTTGCTAAAATTTTTGAAGCCCACCCCTGCCGCCAGCCCCCAGCCTTTGGCCTCTGCGCCCCAGCAACTTGCCTCCTTGCAGCAAAACAGCCTGGTCTGCTTCAGCACAGCCTTATTTAGCACGAGCAGCTGATTGGCAGCTGGCTGCCGCCGCGTATGGAGCAGGCGGAACTGCCTATGGAACAGGCTGAAAATGGGACGCGTGGAGACTGAAAATGGGGCATGACGAAGCAACGATAGGCGATGGGTGGTAGCAAAGGGCAGCAGCAAACCCTGCAGCCCAGAACAGCCGATCAGTGGTATTCCAGGAAGGGGATCCCACTGCCCATCAGCTGCTCGTGCTAAATCAGGCTGTACTGAAGCTGACCAACTTGTTTGTTGTAAGGAGGCCAATTGCTGGGAGGCAGAGGCAGATTTTTTTTTTCTTCTTGTTTTCTGAAGACAGGTAGTCCTCAATTTATAACCCTTCATTTAGTGTCTGTTCAAAGTTACAACAGCACCAAAAAAAAAAAAGGGAATTCGGACCGTTTTTCACCCTTACAAACATTGCAGCATCCCCATTGTCATGTGAACAAAACTCACAATGCTTGGCAATTCAGTTATAATGGTTGCAGTGTACCGGGGTGATGTGATCACGTTTTGTGACCTTACGACAAGCAAAGTCAATGGGGAAGCCAGATTCACTCAACAAACAGGTTACTAATTTATAGGCTGCAGTAATTCACTTAACGATGGTGGCAAAAGAAATCGTAAAATGGGGCAAAACTCACTTAACAGGAATTTGGGGCTCAATTGTGGTTGTAAGTCGAGGACTGCCTGTACAGGCGTCCAAATACAATTTAAATACATACTCACAATTCTTATTTAGGCAGGAAATTTCAACGTTTCTTCAATACCCAATTGCAACAGAATTCAACTTCTGGTGTAAAGTAAATAATTTTTCTCCAAGGGGGGGAAAAAAAACCCTCCAAACTCATAACATTGTTGCAAACTCCCAAATATTTCTATAGCCACGTTCATGCCAGGAATGGAGGGCGAAGCATCTAAATCTGATGGAAGCTTGCACAAACCACGGTGTGAACGTAACCTGGCTTAGAACATAACACTTTCTTGTTTCTAACCAAAAAAAAAAAAAAAAGAGCAGTTTTGCAACTGTTCCCCTGTGGGAAGAACAGAGAACTGAAAAACAGTGTCAACCTCTTTGCTTATATTATTTACTCCTTCATACATTTTAAATACCTTCAGGCTTGCAAAATCAGCAGATGATAGATCCATTGTGCTACTGGGCTCTTCGGTCTCTCCCTAAAAAGAGATTAAAAAAATAAAAATAAAAAACCATCACATTTCCCGAAAAGCTACCATTCTTTCACTAAAGTCAGGCCAGGAAATCGGTCACTCTCTCCTCCTCGATCCATTATCCCCCAAACATGGTTGGTTAGTCGCACAAATCTTACTCCCTTTCTGAAATAATAATAAATAACAAATATATATAAATGATAAATGCAGCGGAAGAAATAAAATGGGATGGGACAAAATGAGAAATCGTCTTTCGATGGGGATGCTTCAACGGTTGATGCTGTTTCCCTTTGAATTCCTACAACAGGTTTCCAAACCGTCTAGGGAATCCCACCTCCTAGAGATCCTAGGCCAGGCCAACCACGATTGCAGGAACTGGGGATTGGTGGGTTACGGATCCACCATCCTTAGTGAACGTGAGGCTGGAAACAGGCTATCATTTTTTATACAGGTTGGATTGCACTCAAGCCAAAAGCAACAAGGCAACACGCCAAAACACTCAAATCATGCCAAAATCAGACACCTGAGCCTCCAAGCGCATCAGAAACAAGCAAGGAGAATCTGCTGGTTTGGCCTGACCTGGAAAAGATAAGCCACGTGCCACCATAGGGGTACACGCCCATATTCAAGTCTAAATATGAGAGATATACAGGAGGTCCTCAACTTGCAATAGTTTAAGGGCCGTTCAACGTTACAACGGCCCTGAAAAAGGTGACTGCGTTTTTCACAGTTACGACCTTTGCGGCAACCCTGTGATGGGTTCATATTTACGATGGTCGCAGCGCCTTGGGGGGCGGGGTGTCATGTGATCAGCACCTGCAACTTTCTGAGAAGCAAAGCCAAAGGGGGAAGCCAGGTTCACTTAACAATAACTTAACAACTGCAGGGATTCGCTGAACAGTTGCAAGAAAGGACGTAAAACAGGGCAACATTCATGCCACAAACATTTCACTTAGCAACACAAAGTTTGGGCTCCATCGCGGTCGTAAGTCAAGGATCTATCTATCTATCCTGGATTTTGGATCCACAGCCGAAACGGTGTAGGGCACTCAGGCTTACCTCTTGCAGCGGCTACGTCTTTTCCTGGGTTCACCCAGGAGTGGCCTAACCTCAAGCGACCTCCCGACTGATTCACCAGGAGGTGTAGTTGCAACCCAGTTACACACAGGCCGCGTGGATGCACTTATGCCTTCCAATCTGAAGCGCACCGCAGCAACAACACACAGGACGGACCAAATACCTCAGGCCAATTCCTACTTGCCTTCTGCTCGCTCGCCTGGGGCAGGAAGGCGGGAGAGCCGAGTTGGAAAAGAACACTTGCCGCGAGAGCCTTAATTGCAGCCCTTCGTGTTAAAGGGAGATTGTATTAACTTGCAACGGGCCCTCGGGGATGGTGGCAGGCAAGCCCAGCCCTGTTTGAAGGCCCAGCCATCCGGGAAAAGTCTTCTCCGTGAAGTTTGCCCAGTGGGGACAAGATGGCCTGCGGGTGCTTCGACTTAATAACCGTCCGCACAGGTACAACGGTACTAGAAAATGGGACTTGGGATTGTTTTGCGTGGCAGCATTCCCCAGGGTCACGTGATCAAAACTCGAGACGCTTAGCAACTGACTCGTATTTGTGGCCATGGCCACGTCCCGGAATCATGTGGTCTCCTTTTGAGACCTTCTGACCAGCCAAGTCAAAGGGGAAGCCAGATTCACACAGCAACCACGTGACTAACTCAATCGCTGTGGCAATTTGCAGTGAGAAAGGTCGCAAAAATGGGGCCAAACTCACTCAACAAGTGTCTCCCTTAGCAACATAAATGGGGGGGGCAATTGTGGCCGTAAGTCGAGGACTACCTGTGTAAGGAGCGGAAGGAAGGAAGGAAGGATCTCGGGGCTTTATTTATGATCCCAGGACAGATAGTTTCTCTTAACAGACATTCATTCTGGTGCATTTTCAAGCTTTCTAACTAAGGCAGTGGTGACATTAGGATGTGTGAACTTCAAACTCCCAAAAACCTGGCTGGCTGGGGAATTCTGGGAGTTGAAGCCATCCCCACATCCTAAAGCCACCAAGGTTGACAAACGCTGAACTGAGGAAACTAAGACAGAGGAGAATCAGGGAAGGTTTTGAAGCTTTTGAATTTTTTTTCTTTCGGCCCCTGGATGGCTGTGACTTTTATAGAAGGGAGAAGGCTAAGCTCGAAAGCAGGAAAAAGTCCCGTTTCAACTGAGACGGGACTCAAGTCTTTGCGAGACGCCCTGCTTTGTCACAAAGGAGTCCTGTGCTTCTATCACAGGATCGAAAGAACGCTAGGGGGGGAGGGGGGGGGGAAAGGAAACATTCTCATAAATTATCCAGAAGGCCCATCCACCCTCAAAAGGCTTCCAATTCCCGAATTCTCCAGAAGGCAAGCTTAAAATCCACAACTTCGGAAGTCAGTCCAAGTGGGTTTTCCCATCAAAATAAAACTTGGATGTTATGCTAAACCATGATTCGCTTCGTCCTTTTGGGCGCTGATTAAACTATTGGCTAGATTCACACCTGTCAAACCTAAATCGTTCTGTTCGTTGGCAGAGAGAGAGGCTTGCCAAGAGGGATTTAAAATCCACTCCACCCTTACTCGTGACACAAATCTGCATTCAACAATTCAGCCTAGCTCTTGATCCTTCCCTGCCCCGCAATTCAATCTAGTTAAAAGGCTAGCCGCAGAAATGGCAGGTAGTCTTCAGTGTACAACCATTCATTTAGTGGACTGAGTTACGACACTGAAAAACGTTATTTACAACCGTTTCTCACATTATAATGGTTACAGCATCCCCACATGATCAAAATTTGGATGCTTGGCAACCGGCATGTATTTTTGATGGTGGGATCATGTGATCACCATTTATTTCCATCACCTTCCAAAAAACCAAGTCAGTGGGGGGAGGGAGGGGACAGATTTGCTTAATAACTGTATGATTCACTTAACAACCATGGCAAAGGAGTCGTAAAAATGGGTGCCAATCACTCGCCTGGCTTAGCAACGGAAGTTCTTACTCAATTATGCTGGTAAATTGAGGACTACCTCTAAAACAAACATACAGGTAGTCCTCCACTTATGACCACAATTGAGCCCAAAACTTATGCTGTTAAATGAGACATTTGTTAAGTAAGCTTTGCCCCATTTGATGACCTTTCTTGCCACAGTTATTAAGTGAATCACTGCAGTTGATAAGTTAGTATACTGGTTGCTAAGTGAATCTGGCTTTCCCGCTTACGTTGTCAGAAGGCCACAAAGGTGATTCTATGGCAGGAGTCTTCAAACTTGACAGCCTTCAGACTTGTGGACTTCAACTCCCAGAATTCCTCCTCCAGTCATGTTAGCTCAGGAATTCTTGCCAAGTTTGAAAGCCCTTATTATATGACCTGGGGACACTGCAACAGCCATAAAGTATGAAGTAGTTGCCAAAAGCAGAATTTTGATCATGCAATCATGGGGATGTTGCTATGGTTGTAACTGTGAAAAATGATCATGTCACTTTTTTCAGTGCCGTTGTAACTTTGAACAGTCACCAAATGAACTGCCGTAAGTCGAGGACTACCTGTACTGTAGAATCTGTTCACCAATCATTTGCAATAAAAGCATGTTCAGGAAGTGAACTTTCGCTCACGTATTCTTTTGCCTAAAAGGGTTTAGGGAGACTACTAAGAAACCAAACCATTCGCCACTATTCCAAACCAAAACATTAGTTCTTGAAAACGCAACGAATGTGGTGCTTCCCTACCACTAACTCACGAGTCACGCCAGTGACCTAAGACTCCCTATCCACCTTCTTCTACACACATGAAAATGAGTGAAAGGAATGGAAACACACATGAGGGGGGGGGAGAAAACACATGCACACACACACACAGCATTTCATTAATAACACTTTCTGGGGTTTCTAAACAAAGCATGCACTGAAAACCTAGAAGCTGCAAAGAAGAAGGCCATGGCTACGGATTCATTCACATACACACACATACACATAAAGGTGGAGGGGATACGAAGGGAGTTTATTTTTTTGATCCTGGGTCATTTACGTCCTTTCAAGGGGGAGGGGAAGAAAACGAAAAAAATTTAAAAAAATGAAACATTTATAAGGATGGGGAATTGATCTGCTCCCGAAGAAGGTGCATACCATGGCTACTGGTATTTCTCTGGATTCTTCTGGCATGTCTGATAAGGATAGAGCTGCCTCCATGTTAGCCAGAGCACCTCCTGTCAGCTGCTCTGGAAGTCCTCGCCTTTCTGCATCCGCACTCTCCTTACTGTCAAAGAGGCAGCCAAGCCTACTATCAGCATTGCTATCCTCTCGGCAGTCTACACCACTGCTGTTATCTATGACCGCTTCATCTAACACACTAATATCCATCATGTCAATATCCTGCAAGTTATCCAAACTTGCTTCATTATCCTCCTGCAAAAAGACAAAAAAAAAAAGAGCCACGTATATAACAGTTGCTGGAGTTCCAACTTGGAAGTCTTACAGGGCATCTGGTAGCCTACGTTCGCTCGCAATACCTGTCCATCTCCAGATTCATCTTCAAGGCCGTTGTCCTCTACTCCTTCTTCTTCCTCGGGCCTCCGCCCTAAAAGAAACAGAATCCTTGAGCAAACATACACATAGACGCACACTATCTATTCGATCTATCGGGATCTAGGTAGCTAGCTGTGGGAGTGCAGTGGTTAGAATATAGTATTGCAGTCTTCTAACTCTGCCCAATGCCAGAAGTTTGATTCTGAGTGGCTTAAACTAGACTCAGCCTTCCATCCTTCTGAAGATGGTAAAACGAGGACCCAGATTGCTGGGGGCAATATGCTGACTCTGTGAATCATCTAAAACTAAGACTAAAGGCAACTTACAACAATTCATTTAGTTACTGTTCAAAGTTACAACATCACTGACAAAAAGTGACTTATGACCATTTTCACACTTACAACCTTTGTAGCATTCCCATGGTCACACGATTTACATTCAGATGCTTGACAACTGACTAGCATTTATGATAGCTGAAGGGTCCAGGAGCTTTTTGTGAACTTCTGACAAGCAAAGTCCATGGGGAAACCAGGTCCATTAATAACCATGGTACTAATTTAATATGGCAGTGGTTCACTTAACAAATATGGCAAGAAAAGTCGTAAAATAGAGCAAAACTCTCTTAACAAATTTCTTACTTAACATAAATTTGGGTCTCAATTGGGGTCATAAATTGAGGACTACCAGTATCTATCTATCTATCTATCTATCTATCTATCTATCTATCTATCTATCTCTCTCTCTCTCTCCCTCTCTCTCTCTCTCTCTCTCTCCCTCCCCCCCCCCCCCCCCCCCCCCCAGTCTCTACCTGTATCATTTTTTTTCAACCTTGTTGGCTGGAAATTTGCAAAGCAGGAATTTGATGTCTATTAACCAATATAACCCTTCATCTTTATCTATTTTCTTGTATACCTTTACTGCTTCTTTTTGGCACTTTCTTGGGGACTATTTCTGACACCACTGGAATCTCATCGGGGTGACCTCCTTCTTCCTCAATAGCCTGTTAGAAAGAGACAAAATCAGCATAGTAAACAGAGCAGTATAGAATTTGGCAGAAAATACCACTACACATTCATTCACAGTGTTCCATCCATTATAGCCAGCTGTTGTTGACTTACGGAACAGAATGCTGGACTAAAACGGACTTCTGGCCTACATGGCCAGACTATAGGTAGTCCTCAACTTATGACCACAGTTGATGGTGAGAAAGTTTATGTTGGTGAGACATTTATTAAATGAGTTTTGCCCCATTTTACAACCTTTCTTGCCACATTTGTTAAGGGAATCACTGAAGTTTTTAAATGTAGTCACACAGTTGTTAAGCGAATCTGGCTTCCCCGTTGGCTTTGCTTGTTGGAAGGTCGCAAAAGGGTGATAACATGGCCCTGGGAGACTGCAACCATCATCAATCTGAGTCAGCTGTCAAGTATCCAAATGTAAATCACGTGACCATAGGGATGCTGCAACGGTCATAAGTGTGAAAAACGGTCATAAGTCACTTTTTTCAGTACCGTTATAACTGAACAGTCACTAAAAGAACTGTTGTAAGCCGAGGACTGCCTGTATTTCTGTTTAGTTGCTTCCTAGAGGCAGCTCTCCCTTCTGCCTAGAGAGGCAAACATGACCTCATCTATACAGCCCCGAGCATGACGAGAACCGTTGGGCTGCATCAGGCCAACACACATCTCGGTCCAGCTGGTACTTCCTCAGGCTAGAGAGCAAACAGCAGATGGAGGCATTTCCCTATTTCCCTATCATTGCTCTGCGACTGGCATAGAAACACATTCTCAGCCCAGAGGTAATAGCAAGAGCACTTAGACTTATATACTGCTTTACAGGGCTTTATAGCCCTCACTAAGCGGTTTAGAGTCAGACTCTTGCCCCCCAAAAAACTGGGTCCTCATTTTACTGATCTCAGAAAGGTCGGAAGGCTGAGTCAACCTTGAGCCTGGTGAGATTCAAACTGCTGAATTGCAGCCGGCAGTCAGCAGAAGTAGCCTGCAGTACTGCACTCTAACTGCAGAAAAAACAATTACTACCAACCTGCCTTCCATGGAGGACCTGCATACTGCACGAGTCAAAAAGAGGGTTGTGAAAATCCTTACAGACCCCTCACATCCTGGATATAAACTGTTTCAACTCCTACCCTCAAAACGACACTATAGAGCACTGCACACCAGAACAACTAGACAGAAGGACAGTTTTTCCCAAACGCCATCACTCTGCTAAACAAATAATTCCCTCAACACTGTCCAACTATTTACAAAGTCTGCACTACTATTACTATTAACCTTCTCATCACTCCTTATCACCCATCCCCTCCCACTTGTGACTGTATGACTGTAACTTTGTGGCTTGTATCCTAACAATTTATATGGACTGTTTCCTAGTATGGTTCGTTTATTGTACCCTGTGACTATCATTAAGTGTTGGACCTGATGATTCTTGACTCTTGATGAATTTATCTTTTCATGTACACTGAGAGCATTTGCACCGAAGACAAATTCCTTGTGTGTCCAATCACACTTGGCCAATAAAGAATTCTATTCTATTCATTCTAACCACTATGCCACCATGGCTAATACTGAACCTTGAAGACAAATACCAATATATAGGGAGTCCTCAACTTACAACAGTTCACTTAGTGACCGTTCAAAGTTACAATGACAATGAAAAGGGACTTTTGACCATTTTTCACAATGAGGACCGTTGCAGCATCCCTAAGATCATGTGATCAAAATTCAGGCTCTTGACATCTAGTTCATACTTATGACTGTTGCTGTGTCCTCTGATCCCCTTTTCCAAACCTCTGACAAGCAAAATCAATGCTATCAATGTTCACTTACCATGTTACCAACTTATCAGCTGCAGTGATTTCACTTAACAACTGTGGCAAGAAAGGTCGTAAAATAGGGCAAAACTCACTTAAGAAATGTTTCACTTAACAACAGAAATGTTGGCCTCAATTGTTGTCATAAGTCAAAGACTACTTGTACTGTCCCCTCTTCTAGAAATGTATCCAATCCTCTTTTCAAGCTATGTTCTGTGAGTAGCTATCATCATAATTCGCAATAATAAACTCAGGGGTGGGATTCTACCGGTTCTGTCCACTTCTGTAGAACCAACTGCTCTGAAGAGCAGCAAACAGAGAGCATACATAGAACCGGTTCTATGTTTGCTGCTGCTTTGGCCCACCCGCCCGCCCGGGCTCTTACCTGACCTTTATTTCCTGCGTTTTCAACCGCAGGAAAAGGGCTTTTCCAACCGCTGCGCACTTGCACGCAGGGCTGCTCAGCTGTCCGGGAAGCTCAGCAGGTCGTAAATTGCACTCATGTGACTCATGTGACTCACACGTGTGCAAAGCGCGCATGCGCACACAACGCAGAGCAACAGAACTGGTAGTTATACCAGTCGGATCCCATCCCTGAATAAACTCCACAGATAAATTATACAAATGAGTCAGGGTTAAATCTTTTCCAATCCTTTGCATGATTTTAAACACTTCAATCATTTCCCTTCTTCTATCCAAGCTAAAGAGTTCTAAAATTTTTATTATAGATGGAAAAGTCTGAGCCCACAATTTTTCTGGCTGGTCTGGTCTCATGTTCTCCAGTTATTATATAATTTTTCAAGCACAGCAATCAAAACCAAACACTATTCAGCATGTAAAGCCTCCACACACATGTATTAGAGCATGACAATGGTGACCTTTTTAATTCTCTTTCCTAATAATTATATTCTTGGCTATAAACCTTTTCCTTAGACCTCTTTAATATATACAGGTAGTCCTCAACTATTTTAAAGCATGGGTGTCCAACCTTTTGGCTTGCTTGGGCCGCACTGGGTGAAGAGAAATTGTCTTAAGATGCGTAAAAAACATATAATATAGTTAAGGTATATAAATAATAAACTTATTTTTTTCTATTTTTTATAAATATTGTGTGGGGCCACATTACTAGCCACATGTGAACCATGCACTGCAGGTTGGACGTGCCTGTTTTAAAGACTGATATATTATGGCATTGTTTTCCTGCTCATTCTTATCTACAAGATCAATATTCAGATATGAAACTAAATAATCCTTAATGTAAGCTTTACTAAAGCAGAAGACCTGAAAAGGATTTAACTTGACATTGGGAAAATGATTTTTTCCTGACCTAACATGGTCTTAAGATTGCTACTTAAAATACAGGGAGCAAGTTGTTCTATACATCATTATAGGAATGTCAGGTTACAAAATCTTCAAATAAAAGGAAAGGAAGGAAAATGTAACTACCAAGTGACATTTCTAATGTTACATTTAGGGGTGGGATTCTACCAGTTTGCACCTACTGGCTAGAACCAGTTGTTAACTTTCTAAGCAATTGGGAGAACCGGTTGTTAGAAGAAATTACTGGCCTAATCCTGTAAGGAAGGCAGGAAGGAAACATTCTGGTGTTGCTTACAGAAACTGCCTCTCTGTTAACCCTTATTACATTCTTGGCAGGACTAGACTTCCTGTCTCAGGAACTTCTCTGGAATTTTTTCCCCTCCTTTCCTGGTACTTTGCTTGTGTGGAGTGACCATTCAAAGTTACAATGGCACTGAAAAAAGTGACTTCTGACCATTTTTCACACTGACTGTTGCAGCATCCCCACAGTTATGAGAGGCCAGGTGAGGAGATGTGTGCCTCGATGTGAGTGATATTGAGTTGGCCACACCCAGCCAATAACATGAGCACCAAGCCACATCCACCCAGTCACATGACCAAGCCACACCCGCCACCTAAGCCACGCCCACAGAACCGGTTGTTAAAAAATTTGAATCCCACCCCTGGTTACATTGGAATCTCCCACAGTTGCTACTGGGTTTCAGCTACCACAAACTAGAAAAGCTAATAGGCCACTGTTCAAGTGTCAATGTTTTGTTTTGTTTTTGCTGTGACTGCAGTTGAAGAGGTAGTCGAGAAGAATCTAAACATAATGTACCCAAATGCAAGAAATGGAATTATCAATCAGCAGCCCGAGTCATATCACCCTCTAACCATTAATATAGGTGTGTTCAACCTTGGCAACTCTTAAGATTTGCAGTCTTCAACTCGCCGAATTCCCTAGCCAACATTGGCTGGGGAATTCTGGGAGTTGAATAGTAACAAAACTCTTTAGATCTTTGGCTCTGAACCTCCCTCAGGACTGAAAGTTCTATTATACAGTGCAGACTCACGGGCAAGCAAATTTTATGTGACAGACTGAGCGAGCCGATAGCAGATAGATCGCTGAATAAATCTGTGATTCTGTGAACAACTCAATCTGCCTGCCTGCTTTGCCTGATTTTGGGTAGAAGTTGCTCTTTTTTTATAAATATTTAATATTTAATATTTACATACAAGTCATGCCCAGCCAGTCACATGCCCACCAAGCCACACCCACAAATTAGGCCACGCCCACAGAACCAGTTAAGAAATTTGAATCCCACCCTTGCCTGTGTGTGTGTGTGTGTGTGTGTGTGTGTGAGAGAGAGAGAGAGAGAGAGAGAGAGAGAGAGAGAGACGTTAGATCAGATATATATCTCTCTCTCCCCCCACCAAGGTCAGCAAGTCACAGTCAGTCAAAATTTATATTAGTGGTCCCCGGGATTTAAAATTATGAATTTGATGGTCCCTGAGATCCAAAAGGTTGGCAACCCCTGCTCTAGTCCAACCCTCTGCTCAAGCAGGCGACCCTGGCCTATACCATTTCAGATAAATGGCTTCTTAAAAATCTTTAGTGATGGAGCACCTACAAATGCTGAAGGCAAGCCCGTTCTAAAATGGCTCTTAAAACCTGGCTGGGAGATAACATGAAGACGCATGCATTAGGCACAAGGGGGAAATTACCTTAGTCTGAGATGCGTTGTTGTTGGGGTTCTTAACCTTTTGGAAAACCAAGCCTCCATTCCTTTTGTTAAAAGCTACACCACCATACATTGCTGGTATAATTCTCCTGAAAACAGTTATAGTACCAGGCAGTTCTCAGGGAATCGGGATTCAAGCAGCAGCCACGAACTTCGAATTGAATCCCTCAATGCCCGGTTCCGAAGGCGACTCTTCGGTTTTTATAGAGTCTACGTTTCGCCAAATCCCGGAGACGAAAGTTGCGCTGCGGCACATGCGCAGAGGATTTAACCCTTCAGCCCCCGCCAACCTTTCCCGAGAAGGCTCCGCGCTCTCCTTACCTTCCGGAGCCGCTCGAGAAGGACGCTCTTGTTGCCTCCGGTGTCCAGGTTGCGCTGCTTCAGCTCGGCCCGCAGGTCGATCACCCGCAGGTCGCTCAGGCGCCGCCGGGTCATCCCACCTTCGAAGCTTTCCGAGTCGCCACCGCTGAGGGAAACCGTCGCTTCTGCGGCGAGCCCGGCCTGATTTTCCGCCGCCATAGGGGAAGACTGTGTGGAGGGGAAAGCAAAAAAAACGGCTTCTCGCGCAGAATTTTGGCTCTCAAAAAAAAAAATCAATACGGAATGAACCTCGCAAAAATATTTAAAAAGCAAACAAACAGATTTCCGAAAACGGTAACGTCTATGCGGGGCGCGCGAGCGCTCCCGGCACGCATAAAATGGCGGGCGAGCTTCTTTCGGCGCACGCGCAGAATGGCCCATAACTCACTGCGCATGTGCATTCTGCTTTTAACACGGCCCTAATGTGAAAAGAGACGGGGCGCGTGCGCGACGTGGAGGAAACGGCGGAAGAAAGCGAAAAAGTGAAGAAACGAAAGAGACTGGGAGCGCATGCGCCCTGAGTATAACTCGACCCGCCTTGGACGAGACTAAATATAGGGAGCCGAGAAGGCATCTATGTGCCCGGGTGGGTGGTGTTTTTTTTTTCCCCACCCCCTTATCTCTGCCTGAATAGGAAGTGGTGCTGACTAAAAATAAAATTTTAAAAATGTTGTATTGGCTTTTTTGGGTGCTGCCACATAATTCTGCCTCCATATTTAATCCATATTTAAGGGATCGTCCACTTAAGACTCCAAGGTTTCTCTCACAGTTACTGTTTTTGAGCCAGGTTTCTCCTAATCTGTACTTAACACCTTTGGTTTTTCCTGCCCAGGTGCAAAGTCTTGCTTTTTCTCCACATGAATGTTTGTCGTTTAAGACTTTTTTTTTCTGCAGATAAAACTGATGGGGGCAGGAGAAAGGGGGGTCTGTCTGAATGCAGGTAGTTCTCAACGTACATTCATTTAGTGACCGTTCAAAGCTACAACAGCACTGATAACTGACTTTACGACCATTTTTCACATTTATGACCATTGTATCCCTGTGGTCACATGATCAAAATTTGGACACTTGGCAACTGGCATGTATTTACGACGGTTGCAGTATCCCAGGCCCATGGGGTCTTTGTCAAAGGGGAAGCCAGTGTCTCTTAACCAACTGTGTTACTAACAACAACCGCAGTGATTCTCTTGACAACTGTGGCACGAAAGGTTGTAAAATGGGGCAAAACTCACTTAACAGACTTGTTTAGCAATGGGAATTTTGTCTCAGTTGTGGTCATAAGTCGAGGACTACCTGTAACTGATTTCAGTAACAGGGAGAAGCTTTGATTAATGTTTCTAGTTGCTCTGAAGCAACAAAGCAAGAATCTGATTTCTGATAAGAACCACTTCAAAGCAGCCATGCATGAGAAAAGCTCTGAAAGTTGAACTTCAATAACCCAAAAACTCATTATAATGTGGGAAACACGCCTCCTGAATATGCAATGCAGCATTAACAGATCATGCTAAATATATTATGGGAAGTTCTGAATGTTTACATGGTATATGTATACTTGCTGAGCATGTTCTATAGATGCTTGATGACTCAAATGAGGCTGGCCAATTGAACAACACATTCCAAACCTGATATGTTTGAACTCTATAATAATGAATAATATATTTTTACATTTTATTTGATTTGTCAATCGCTTACAAGATACAGGTATAAGAATAAATATAGTTTTGAATACATGAGATAGATACTTAAAAGAAAAATTAAAAAAACAATAGGACAGGGAGGGTATGCACGATTGGTATGTTTATGCACACTCCCTACAGGCCTCTTAGGAAGATGGTGAGGTCAATAGTAGACAGTCTAAGGTTAAAGTTTTTGGGGTTTGGGGAAGAAACCACAGTCAGGTAGAGTATTCCAAACACTGACCACTCTGTTGCTGAAGTCTTATTTTCTGCAGTCAAGTTTGGTGCGGTTAACCTTGAGTTTGTATCTATTGTGTGCTCTTGTATTGTTATGATAGAAGCTGAAGTATTCATTTTCAGGTAGGACATTGCAATGTATGATTTTATATGCTATATTTCGATTGGACCGGAGGCGGCGTAGTTCTAGATTTTCTAGGTGTAGAGTTTCAAGTCTGGTGGCATAAGGTATTCTGCAACGAGTAGAGGAGTGGAGAACTCTTCTTGTGAAATATTTCTGGACTTTTTCAATTGTGTTAATATCAGATACATGATATGGGTTCCAGACTGATGAGCTGTAGTCAAGTATAGGTCTAGCAAATGTTTTGTATGCTTTAGTTAGTAGTGTGATATTACCAGAGAAGAAGCTACGTAGGATTAGGTTAACAACTCTTAATGCCTTTTTGGCTATGTAGTTACAGTGGGCTCTAGCACTTAGGTCATTTGAGATGAGTACTCCAAGGTCCTTGACAAAGTTTGGATCCTCAACAAGGTCTTTACTATTTAGCTTGTATTTTATTTTCTGATTTTTTCTGCCAATAGGTAAGGATTTCTGGCGCCCTCCTAGTCAATTTAAATGCACTTTCAAAGTTTGTTGCTTTTAAGAGAAAGAGGCAGGGAGATAGTCATGCACTGGCAATTCGAACAATTTATATTTTTACTATGTAGACTCAGATTTGTAATGAGCATTCCCTCCTGGCTTCAATATACTTCTGCTTCTATCACAAAATTGCTTCCAATCTTCACAGGAGTTTAGTTACTGTCCTTTTAAAGAGGGAGTCTGGATTAGCAATTTGGGGAAGAGGGAAGGAGGGACGGCAGGAGTGGAAAGCGGTCTGCTGCAAACCTCTGAAGACCGACTTACAGCTCCCGGTGCTCACCGCCCTGCAAGGATTGGATGAATCTCACCCTCTCACCGCCCTGCAAGGATGATTATATAGCCCCCGGTACTGACGAGGCCCACCGCCTTACCTTCTAGTAAGGATGGGTCGAATTGCAGATCGTTAAGCGCTTTTGAACAGAGCGCTTTCCGAGGAATGAGCTCTTTTCTGGCATGCTTGGTCAAGGATGGGAGGAATAGGAAATCGCCGAGTACTTTTGAATTGAGCATTTACTGTGGAACGGAGCTCTTTTCTGGCTTGCTGACAAGTCTCGGGCATTAGACTTTCCACTTCGCCGGCTGGACCCACAGGGATTAGAGCAGTGATCCCCAACCTTTCTTATGCTGCGGCCCGGTATCCCCAACCTTTTTTATGGCGCGGCCCGGTACCGGCATTAGCTGGGTGCCGCCATCTTTTTTTGATGAAAAAGTGCTTCCGGTGAGCTTTCTACCCGGAAAAGCTCACCGGAAGCACTTTTTCATCAAAAAAAGATGGCGGCGCCCAGCAAACCAGCGGCCCGGTAGGACTTGTTCCACGGACCGGTACCGGTCCGCGGACCGGTGGTTGGGGACCCACAGGGATTAGAGGGCTTGTCGCCTGGCGCTGCCTGTGCCTGCCGGAGCTCCTCACACTGCCGCCATCTTCATTCATCCATTCATATAAAGTGATTTTTCTCACCTTGTACCTCAGATAGCACCTGGCACTATAGCAGTAACACTCAAAGCAGTCTACCAACTCAGAGTGCTTTACAGCCCCCTCTTAGCGGTTTACAGAGTCGGTATGTTTTCCCCAACAATCTGGGTTCTCATTTTACCAATCTCGGAAGGATGGAAGGCTGAGTCAACCTTGAGCTAGTCAGGATTGAACTCCTGGCAGTGGGAACGCAGTTAGCCTGCAAGACTGTATTCGAAGTTGAATGGTGGATGGATGGATGGATGGATGAATGGATGGATGGATGGATGGGCAGGTGGGCAGACAGACCTATTGATATCAACTACATCACTATCACTAGTGCCAGATGCAGCCATGCCAAGTGACAGCAACCTCAGGGAGAAAGAATAGGAGAAACTGGAGAAGTATCAGGGCCTGAAGGACGAACTGGGGATGCTGTGGGAAGTAAAGACCAAAGTGGTCCCCCTGGTAGAAGAAACTAATATTATTAATAGCAATACCACATAGACCTATATACACAGTGCTTTACAGCCCTCTCTAAGCAGTTAACAGAGTCAGCCTCTTCCCCCCCCCCAAAAAAATCTGGGTCCTCATTTTACTGACCTCGGAAGGATTGAAGGCTGAGTCAACATTGAGCCCTGTCAGGATCGAACTGCTGGCATTGGGCAGACTCAACCTGCCATGCTACATTCTAACCAGAGCGCCACCAGGGCTCCTAAGAGATCCTATTTTGGTGAAGGACACACCCGGTTAAGAACTTTTGATTAACCGCACAATAAGAGTCACACATGGCGGTGCCTTCCAACCCTTTTCATTTTGAAATGTTGAGTTAGAGGTCCCCAACTCCAGGCCATTATCTATTCACAACCGGGTTATGCGAGTGGTATGCCGACGTGCACAGGTGCGCTCAACTCAACTTGGATGAGAGGCAAGCCGGCACCTGTGCATACGCAGATCAACTTGCGCAAGTCTAGCTGTGCATGCATGCATGTTGGCATCATGTAACTTGAGCTGTGCGCGCACCAGCCCAGTTCCCCTCTCCCCCCCCCCCCCACACACACCCCGCTGAGCTGCCAAGCCACCAAAGTTGGGGATCACTGTTTTAAGTAGAACACAACATCCAATAAAAAGATCAGTGTAATGAGGAGGGGGGACTACAAAACAAAATATCCTGATTGGGAGTGTCCCTCCAAAAATAAATCAGTAAACTTATTCTTATTGTAAAAATGTTGCTGTATTACTTCATTTTTTTTAACATTGTAAACCGCCCAGAATCAGCTTGCGGTGAGATGGACAGCAATTGGATATAATACATGAATAAATAAATAACTAATAAATAAAATAAACTACTGATGACACAGATAAAACCTCCAAGTGGCCTCAAGGACTGTAAAAGAATGCAAACGACCAGCAGTCTGCAAGGAGTATAAATCCTTCCATTCCCCCCACCATCCAGTCACAGCTGAAGAAGCTTCTTGGATGAGGAGTGAAACGTCTTCAAAGAAAAAAAACAACAGAAAGTCCAGTTGCCACTTGAAAAAAGCACCTTTGGGACAACCACGACCTGGATAACTAAGAATCTCCCTATAGACATTTAAACAAATAAAATAGAAAAAGCCTTTAGGAGATTCTGAAATCCTGGCACTCCAAAGTTCAGGTGGTCCTTGACTTATGACCACAACTGAGCTCAACATTTATGTTGGGAGGCGAGACGGTTGTTAAGTGAGCTTCGCCTCATTTTGCAGCCTTTCTGGCCACCGTTGTCAAGTGAATCTGGCGTCCCCAAAGACTCTGCTCTCAGAAGGTCGCAAAAGGGGATCACATGACCCCAGGACACTGCGACCGTCCTAAATATGAACCAGTCACCAAGCATCCAAATGTAAATCAAGTGACCGTGGGGATGCTGCAACGGCCCTGTGAAAAACAGTCATGTCATTTTTTTTCAGTGCCGTTGTAAATTTGAGCGGTCGCTAAATGAAAAACCCCCACCGCAAGAAACGTGGAGGTTCAGTCCTTTGAATTCATTGTTTCTGCAACTGGGCAACGTTAAAGCATGTGGACTTCAACTCCCAGAATTCCCCAGCCAGGATAGGGAAACTGCTCT